ACCCTTTTCCTTCCTTTCTCTGCAGCCAAAGGAGATTCTGGAGACGGCTGTGGGTCCCCAGGAAGTGGTCGCAGTCCTGCAGGAGTCCATCAGTCTCCCCCTGGAAATACCACCTGATGAAGAGGTTGAGAACATCATCTGGTCCTCCCACATAACGCTAGCTATTGTGGTGCCAACAAAAGAGGGACATTTAGCTAACGTCACGGTGACCGACCCTCGCTACCAGGGCCGAGTGAGCTTCCCGAGTCCCAGCTACTCTCTGCACATTGGCAATCTGAGCTGGGAGGACTCGGGGCCTTACCAAGCTCAAGTCAACCTGTGGACGTCCCAGATCTCCAGCCTGCAGCAGTACAACCTACGCATCTACCGTGAGTTTAGCTTGGGAACCGCGCACCTGCCTTCGCGGGCTTTCCTGAGCTTCCCATGCAGAGGAGGAGGGGTCTCGGACTTGGGGTTATGACTTGAGGGGTTGGGACTGGAAGGCAGACTGTCCCTAGTGTACCCAACCCCAGCATCTGGGCTGCCTTGCTGCCGCGGGTAGAGTGACCTGGAGCAACGAAGCACTGGGGCATGGAGCTGTTCCTGTGGAGGGGCCTGACAGAGAGCTCGGGCTTTGTGGGGAGATTTCTAGGAGACCTTCTGTCCCAGTGAGATTTCACACTGGGCGGCGGGTGTGTGTGTGTGTGTGTGTGTGTGTGTGTGTGTGAATGCACCTCCAGTCTTGAGCCTTTTTTAATCCTTCTGAGTGATTTGAGGGCTACTAATCAGTGACTCCTCTCTACTTGAATGCAAGTTCCTTCTTAGTGCCCGTGACATTGACTGATATTCTACCTTGAATCCTGTTAAGACACCGATTAAGCTATAAATGTCCCTGAGAGAGAGGGTAACAATATGTTCTGGGTTTGAGGAGGCAGAATGGGGTTTGGAGGAAGGTGGGTGCCAACGTGAGAGAGAGGGGCAAGGTATAAAGGGGAAGTGGAAGAGGCCACAGGCAGCCCTGCCTGCCTCCGCAGCTGCCCGGGGACCCTGGGTTGTACGGTGGCTGAGTTTTGTTAGTTTCTGCCTGCTTGTGTGGGTGGAGGGGCCCTCAGAGGACAGCACCCAGACCCCAGTGTTGAGGAACTTAGGAAAACAGACCCAAGCCCTGATGACCTAGCTGGCTTTTGTGTTCCTCCTTCATCCAGGACGGCTGTCGGAGCCTTCCATCACTGTGAACTTTGAGATCTCAGGGGACGGTCTCTGTAATGTGTCCCTGACATGCTCTGTAGAGCAGGCCGGCCTGGACGTGACCTACAGCTGGATATCCCGGGAGGATGGTGTCGACACAGCACGTGAAGGCTCTGTCCTCAGCACATCCTGGAGGCCCGGGGACCATGCCCTCTCCTACACCTGCAGGGCTAGCAACCCCGTCAGCAACATGAGTTCCTATCTCATCCCTGCTGGGCCCTTCTGTGCAGGTACCAGGACCCTGAGCTACTGCAGGGCCTTGAGGCCACCACCTTCATTTGTCAGTTCTTCCCAAGAGAATACATGGAATCTAGAACCTAACCCTCTCCCAGAGGGACTTGACCCCTGGATTGGGTGGGGGGGCTCCCCTCTTTCCCTGGAACGCCCAACTTCCGAAGGTCTCTTCTAGACTCTTGCTCAGCTTGAAATTGCTCCCCAGATCTCAGTTCCTGAGCTTCTGTGAATAGAATAAGTATTTCAAGAGACACTTGCAAAGGCACACAGCTGACTGAACTTGACCCCTCTGTGGGATTTGGGGTGGGTGTCTGCAACTCACCTTTCCCTTTGGTGAGGCCCCCTCTCCCCCTGCCTCCTTCCTTCTTCTGTTCCAGATCTTAGGTACCCTTCAGAGAAGGCCTCCGCTTCCTTCTGCCTCCTGGTCAAGGCACTGCTCCTCCTCCTGCTCTTGGTAACTCTGGCCACGGGGCTGTGGCTCGCTCAAGGCCAGAAAGGATGCAAGATACCAAGGATGAAAAAAATCAGGAGAAACAGATTGAGACTGAGAAAGACGGACAAGCCTGGCCCAGCTGGCTTAGTGGTTGAACGTCGACCTATGAACCAGGAGGTCACAGTTGGATTCCCGGTCAGGACACGGGCCTGGGTTGCGGGCTCAATCCCCAGTCGGGGGCGTGCAGGAGGTCTATGATTCCCTTTCACCATTGGTGTTTCTATCTCTCTCCCTTTCTCTTCCTCTCTGAAATAAATAAAAGTATATTAAAAAATAAAGTTGAAGCAATTGAGAGAGAGAGAGAGAGAGAGAGAGAGAGAGAGATAGGAGCCTGGCCCTTGCCTGGCCTGATAGCTCCTTGGGGACTCCCCTCTTGACCACTGTTTCTTCCCAGCTCCAGGAAATCCTCCTTCTTCTCCAAAGGCTATACTTGTCAAAGGGCTGCGGGTGGATGTACAAAGGGCCTTACCCTCCCAGGGACGACTGGCAATAAAGTTGAATCAGATGACTGCCATTCTGGAGAAGCTTGTTTGGTCCCTCACTGGATGACTTTGGTAAGCCTGCGTCTCTTCCCTTCCTCTCCAGGTGCTCCCTGCAGCCCCCTTCCCTTCCTCTCCAGGTGCTCCCTGCAGCCCACTTCCCTTCCACTGTAGGTGCTCCCTGCAGCCCCTTTCCTTCCACTGTAGGTGCTCCCTCCAGCCCACTTCCCTTCCACTGTAGGTGCTCCCTGCAGCCCCCTTCCCTTCCACTGTAGGTGCTCCCTCCAGCCCCCTTCCCTTTCTCTCCAGGTGCTCCCTGCAGCCCCCTTCCCTTCCTCTCCAGGTGCTCCCTGCAGCCCCCTTCCCTTCCTCTCCAGGTGCTCCCTGCAGCCCCCTTCCCTTCCTCTCCAGGTGCTCCCTGCAGCCCCCTTCCCTTCCTCTCCAGGTGCTCCCTCCAGCCCCCTTCCCTTCCACTCCAGGTGCTCCCTCCAGCCCCCTTCCCTTCCACTGCAGGTGTTCCCTCCAACACCCCTCTTCTCCCTCCAGCCCCCTTCCCTTCCACTCCAGGTTTCCCCTCAAATTCCTGCTTCCTTCCATTCCAGGTGCCCCCTTTCCAGCCCACGTTTTCTCATGCCTGCCTTCGGGGATAGAAGTGAGACTTCCCAATGTGGTGTTGGTGTATTATTCACCACCTATCACCTTCCCCATTAATATACAGAGTGTTTACATTTTAAATGAGAGAAGTGAGAGCTTTCTTCTAATTTACTTAATCTGTGACTCTTCAATGGGCGCATTGCCGGCACTGAGCACCCGAAGAGTAGTGTTGTTCCTGCTAAGGTCTGCTCTCACAGCCCCACTTCCACCCTGGCTGCAAGTGCACTTAACTCTTCCCATGCACCCCACCCCAGTCTAGAGGCTGGGGTGTCAGGGAGACCGGAACCCGCCCCTCCCTTAATCCCCCTCAGTGCTGCTCCTCTCTGGGTCTGAGCGAGCCTGGAACCTTGCAGCCATCTCCCTGATGCCAGCTGCTCTGACCCTCTGGTGCCTACCCCATAGGGGTAATTGCTGGGTCAATAGCTGTGGTCTGGACCCTTAACCTTTATTTGTGATTCATCTTACTGTCTGTTCTCTATAGATTTCCACGTGTCAAACCTCTCTGGATTCTTGTCCTGGGTTAATGCCTACCTCTTACACACCACTCCTCTTGGGCAAAGGCCCTTCAATTTGTGGTCCTGTTCTTTCCTGAGCCCACTGACTAGCCCCGATTCCTCATCCAGGCCTGATCAGCCACTGCCAAGCCTTGGTCATCCTCCCAAAATCACACCTTGTGAAGCTGCCATGGGTGGGGGACTTGGGGAGAGACTGGGAAGTCACCCAAGTGACAGGACACGTGTCGGTAATGAGTGAATGGAAGGGGGTGTAGAGTCCAGTGGGGAGAGCTCTGGGGGAGATCTCAGGAGATGTGGGCTCTGCCCTGCCACTCACCTCTAGCTTAGGACACTTTGTTCAGGAAGCGCCCATTGGGGTAAGGTTCCTTCCACAAAGAACACACACTTTGAAGGAGAGGCAGGCCTTGGTACGGCTGATTGGCGCATTTACAGAGATACGGCTAAGAGAGCACCGTGGCTCCCACAGAGGAAGGAGCAGCTGTGCCCCTGGGGAGTTTAGGAGTCCGAGGAGCTGGGAAAAGCCATGTGGCAGAAGCCACACCTGACATTTGTCTGGACCTCACCTTCCCTCTCCCTCAGTGAGGACGAAGATGCTGACCTCCAAAGTGTCTTCTAAGACAAGGGCTCCTAGGCTGTGAGGGGCTTTGGAATGCCTGGGAATGGTGGAGACCGAGGACACTGCTTTGGGGAAACCGGACGTGTGGGCCGGGCACCAGGAACCTAGGAGGGTGGCTCTGGGCAGCATGGGCGGAAGCTAAGAGCCAGGACTCCTGGACAGGAAAGGAGCGGGGCTACGAGGTCAGGAGGGGCTTCCTACCTAGGGTTTATGTGCAGGACAGGGAGCCCCATGGGGCTGGGGAAGGTGGTGGCAAGGGTGGGAAACCAGTCCTCAAAGAACCCCTACGAGCTCCTACGTCTGGCAACAGATCCACTCTGCTCGCTGGGGGCCCCAGCCCCGGTTCTGCTGGAAGGCAGTCCCTGGCCCGAGACTGGTTTTCCACGCCTCTCCCCAGGCCTACGCAGCCCCACTTTCTACGAGGCCTGAGTTCTAGGGCCACGCCTGCAGCCCCCAGGCTCTTCAGTTCCTCATTACCTTCCTAAAGACTGGGAAAGGACAACTGGTTTCTATCTGCACACACAGGGGCAGCTCCTTGCTCTTGCATCCCAGACACAGAAAGTAAATAAAGGAGTGAAGGGTGCCTGGACGGCTGGCCCAGGGCTCTCCCCGGAATTTGGCCAAGTCCCTTCTTCTCTCACACAGTCTCTGAACACACAGAGAAAAGCGTGCCTGGAAGAAGAGGGCTGAGACCCTCAAATGAGCCGAATATAGGCTCAGAGAGGCCTGCCGGAAGCCAGGATAGTGATCACCTGATCGCACTTTGCAGACGGCAAAGTTTGCTCACTTTTTGAAAGCAGGTGAAAGCAAACATTTAAGCACCTACCATCAGGCACTGGGCTAGCACTGGAGAGGAAATGACACTGTCTGCCCTCAAGGGACTTTGTGGGGTGTGTAAGGATATAATCACAGCGATACAATCACAGCGAAGGTGACAAGGGCTGTGGGTGAAGGCGAGGGCATGGCGGGAGGAGTCAGGCATGGGGTGGCCCTGAGGGAAGAGGTAAACAGAATTTGACCAGTGATTAGCAGGGAGAGTCCTGGGAAGGGAGAAAGAGGACTTTGTAGCCAGACAGCAGATAAGGGAGAAGACACTACGTGAAAAAGCACAGGGAATTCCAGGGGCTGCAAGGCCACGCACGGCTCCTGATAAAGGGATAGGAGACAAATGAGTCTAGAGGGGTGGGCAGGGCCCCTGTGAGAGACTAAGGGCTGTGGGGGAATTCAAGGATGAACAAGACAGGCTCCACACGCTCACGGGGCCAGAGTCTCATCCGGACAGGAGACAGCACACCAACAGTTACATGACAATCTGGGGAATACCACACCTTTTTTTTTTTTTTTTTAAATCAGGACCAGTGCTCATGGGCACGTGGTCAACCAAATCCCTGGAATTGACAACCTGTAGGGATCTTTTGTCAACAAGCTGAAAATAAGTTACTTTGGTTAGGCAGAATCCTAGTTGGCTAGATAAACTTTCCCAGAGAGTAATGGTTATTGGTTGAGATCAACCTGAGGAAAATCTTCAGTTGTGAGCCTCGGGGACTATTCCCCCCCTCACCCCCATTTATTTTAGTCTAGGGGGTGAGGGAACAAGTTATAGGGCTAGGCTCCCTTTCTTACCAAAAAGCCATCAAGATAACACCAGAATCACAGCAAAATAACTACAATTAGACACAAAATAAGCTTCCAGGGAAAATGACCAGATCATACACTTTTAAAAAATGGAAAATCCCTAACCGGTTTGGCTCAGTGGCTAGAGCGTCGGCCTGCGAACTGAAAGGTCCCAGGTTCGATTCCAGTCAAGGGCAAATACCTTGGTTGCGGGCACAACCCCAGTAGGGAGTGTGCCAGGAGGCAGCTGGTGGATGTTTCTAACTCTCTATCCCTCTCCCTTCCTCTCTGTAAAATAGTTAATAAAATATATTTTTAAAAAAATAAATAAAAATGGAAAATCATGTAAATCCCAAGTTTACAAAAAAAGTGACTTTAGTGCTCAAGTGCGATCAGCTTATCCTCAAGAAAACACTGGGGACAGCAGAAATGCAACCTTTGGACCAGAGGTGGAGCCCATTGCGCTGTGGGGAGGCAGCTCTGTCCCGCTGGCTGGTGAGGGGCCAAGAGACGCTTCACCATTTTTCCTGGGCACGCTGCCTGGCCTTGCTTTCTTGTGTGTCCACTAACACGCTTTCACCACAGTCTTATCACTGTCAGCTCGGCCTGTTACACTGTTAAGTATTGCTGAAAGCTGCCACTGGGGAGCATGTGCGGAGGGATGGTGGGAGAGAACTCCTGTCTCCCCTCATCCTCCCGGGTCCCCCTCCACATTTCCATCTCAGGCACCCAGACGTTTACCCTTGGGAGAACTTTCCAGCAGTGAGAGTCCCTACACGTGGATTGGTCGTGGGTGGTGAGGTTCCTGGTTTATGATGGGGTCAGATGGGGCTGGCTGCTCACCCGGAGGAGGAGGCACGCACACAGGTCAGCAGAAAGACCCATCGTGGGGTCTCTCCTGACGTTGAGGCCACGATTCCATGAATCAATGCCCGTTGCACTGTTTGAACCCCAGGAGATCAGACTCGCGTTGGGAGGGGGGGTTGGGGTGGTCAGTGTTCTGCTTTCAGGAAAGACTTCCGGAAGGGAGACAGGACTGCTTACACCTGGTGGGGAAGGCACTGCCAGGCCGCATCCACATGTAAGGCAGCACAGAGCTGAGTAGCAGCGGCTCAGAGGCACAGACAGGCAGGATATCTTCGTGCCTGAGGTTGACATGTCCCAGGGGTGGGCCGATAAAGACAGGGTAGGGTCTGGATCCGGCTCTGGCTCTGCCGTGTCCTCGATGGGGAGCTTGGGCAAGTCACTTCACCTGCTCACTGAGTCTTGGCTGTCCCACTAGTCACGGGGACCAAACCTACCCCACAGGGCCTCCGCGCG